CAAAGCTTCAAAGGACAGGATGACTCTCTTGTTAAGGGCTAATGCAGCTGAAGTTGAAGTCAGTGCTTACCTACCATCCAAAAGACCTAGGGCCCTTAAGAAGTATGCTAAATTGACTCTATGTTCTGTGTGTGGAGCAACAAAGCCCAGATGGTAGCTTATCTGTTTACAGCATGGTTTATTAAATATTTTAAGTCCACTTAAAATACTGCTTGCCTGAACCCCACGTGGGCCCTTTGAACTCACCTCATAATTGGTCATTTCCAAAGGATTCTCAAAAGTCATGATTGGGTCCCACCAAAAGTAATGAACACCTCCCAGATACTGAATGGTCAAAGCTGTTACCATGGGTGCTGCTGTACAATTGTAATTGATGCTTATGTGATGATGTCATATGTACAACGTGTGCACTGTAACACTCCCGTCCCTTACCCCATAAAATCCTCGCTCACTATTGTTCGGGGCTTCACCTTGCTGCCAGTACACTGGTAGGCGGGTGAACCCCTGCTCGAGCTTGTAATAAAGACCCTTTTGTACTTGCATCAGTGTCGGCTCCTTGGGGGTCTCAGGGGACTCGCGAATCGGGCACAACAGAATGACAGCACAGGGTTTAGAACATCACGGAAGCAGAGGACAGAGCGGCGACAGCGGGATCGAGAGGACTGACTCGGATCTGAAAGTGGTCCCCCCGTGGGTAAAATGCCGTCAGACAGCATCACAGGCGGCAGAGAAGTCGACGTGAAAGGAAGAGCAAACCAATGCAGCAAACTTTATTACTGTCTTATTTACAAAATTGCCACGGCCACTCCGGCTGTCAGCGGCCACCCTGATCAGTCAGCAGCCGTCACCTGAAGGCAGGACCCTCAACCAGCAGAAAGATTACAACTCACTGAATGCTCAGATGACTGTTAGCATTTTTTTTTTTTTTGGCCATAAAGTATTTTCATTTTTAAAACCATTTATTTATTTACATATATATTAGAAAAAGAGAGGCAGAAAGGGAGCGAGAGCGAGAGCGAGAGAAAGAGAGAGAGAGAGAATGTCAAGCAGGCTTCAGGCCTGGTTGTGCAGAGTCGACGTGAGGCTGTCTCATAATTGAGATAATGATCTGGGCCAAACTCAAGAGTCAGACGCGTAACTGATGGAGCCACCCGGGGCGCCCAGCAATAACGTATTTTTTTAATTACGCGTATTATTTCAGACACGATGCTATTGCACACGTAACAGACTACACTATCATGTAAACATAACTTTGATCCGCACCAAACGGTGCGGATCACCGTCTGGGAGACCAAACTGTTCATTTGACTTGCTTTATTGTGGTGATCTGCAGCTACATCTGCAATATCTCGGAGGTAAGCCTGTGCTTGTGGTTTCTGTGGACCTTTTATTTTTTCTAGTCTTGAGGACTGACCGGCTTTCAGTTCTCTGCCTGGGTGGATGGAAATGTGGATCCTCCCGTCATTATTAGGCATTTACTGAGGGGGTGGAGCCAGGTGTGACTCGCACTTCCTGGGAAGGGCTGGAGGCCCGGGGTGGGGGTGGGTGCCGTCATTGACTCTGGAGAATGGAAGCAAGCTCGAGGGCTAGCAGCAATTTAGAAGGAGCTCTGGGTACCTCGAGGTCCTTCTCAAAGGCTGTATGAGCATTTAGAAACACCGTCCACTGAACCAGGACCTGGAGATCTGGGCCAGTCTGCCTCTGAACCACTCTTGGAGACATGGGAGGGTCCCTTCCCTTCGCCTTGCCTTGGAGCTCACTACATGCAGCAGTTGACCCTGGTGATCTCTCTTTGACATTTTCAGACCCTTTGCTGTCTCTGGAACTCATAACTATGAGGCTTGATGAGGATTATTCTGTCTTCACATCCTGTGTAGCTGCCGTCTATTATCCCACAACATTGTTACAGTATAATTGACTGTATTCCCTATACCGTAGCTTTTATTCTAGTGGTTTATACATCCCACAACCGGAAGCCTGCGTCTCCCACTCCCCTCCACCCATTTTGCCCATCTTCCTTTCCCCTTTCCCTCTAGCAACTCTCGGTTTATTTATACGGTGGATTCTGCCTTTTGTTTCTTTCTCCTTCTCCTTCTTCTTCGTAGATTCCACATATAAGTGAAATCAGATGGTATTTGTTTCTCTTAGTCTTATTTCTGCTAGTGTGTCTAAAAATTTTTTTTTTATGTTTATTCGTTTTTGAGACAGAGAGACAGAACAGCAGAGAGAGAGAAGGAGACACAGAATCTGAAACAGGCTCCAGGCTCTGAGCTGTCAGCACAGAGCCTGACATGGAGCTCAAACTCATGAACCATGAGATCATGACTTGAGCCGAAGTCAGATGCTTAACCGACTGAGCCAACCAGGCACCCCTGCTAGTATATCTTTAAAAAATTATTTGTTTACATTGTGTGTGTATAATATCTACCTCCATGCACGCATATGTATGAAATGATAACTTAAAAGTATGATACATTAAAACAGATTTTTTTAAGCGTACAATTCAATGAATTTTAACACCTGCCACTACCATTGTAATCCAGATACAGACCACATCATCCCAAAAAACTCCCTGTGCGACCCTCTTTATAGTCCCATCCTCCCCTAATCCCCAGAAACTACGCATCTATCCTCACTCACTATAGTTTTGTCACTTGGAGAATATTGTATCAATCAATGGGATCATATAGTATGTAACCTTTTGAGATTGACTACCTTCATTCGGCATTATTTTCTGCCTGTGTGTTTAGCTTGTGGATAGAGAATATTCTCTCCCCCAACCCCAGTTTTTTTTTTTTAAGGTAAAACTGGCATATACCATTGTACTTTAAGGTATACAACTAATGATTTGATATACCTACATATTGCAAAATGACGATCACAGTAAGTTAATATCCATCACCCCACAGGATTACAATTTATTTTTCTTGCGATGAGAACTTTTAAAACCTACTCTCTTAGCAACTTTCAGATCTATGATACAAAGTTGGTCTCCAGCCCCAGGACTTATCTTTTAACTAGATATTTGTACCTTATGACCACCTTTACCCCCATCCCCCCCCCCCCATCTCAGCTTCTGGCAACCACAGATCTGTTCTCTGAGCATAATTATTTTGAGATTCATTTAACTTGTTATGTGTTTGTGTGGTTTGTCCTTCTGTTGCTGAGTTCTGTTCCATGGTATGGATGGCCTGCAGTTTAACCATTCACCTATTGAAGGCATTAACCTTGAATATGAAACTGTCGGGGGGCCTGGGTAGCTCAGTCAGTTGAGCTTCCGACTTCGCTAAGGTCATGATCCCACAGTTTGTGGGTTTGAGCCCCACGTCGGGCTCTGTGCTAACAGCTCAGGGCCTGGAGCCTGGTTTGGATTCTGTGCCTCCCTCTCTCTCTCTCTGACCCTCCCCTGCTCACTCTCTCTCTCTCTCTCTCAAAAATAAACATTAAAAATTTTAAAAATATGTAAAAAATAATATAAAGCTGTCAGTTGGAGTGCCTGGGTGGCTCAGTGGACTAAAGCGTCTGATTCTTGATTTCTGCCGTTTATGATCTCACAGTATGTGAGTTAGAGCCACCTCTGTCTCCACACTAACAGTATCTCTCTCAGCCTCTCTCCTGCTCATGCTCTCTAAACAAATCAACTTAAAAAAATAAAGCAAAATTGTCAGTTATTTATCAGCAAAAATGGGCTTTTTCAGGAAGACCAGGGAATTACAATTCAGGATACGTGGGCTACAGCAAACCAGATAGGCAGGCAAGTCTGGAGAATACAGTCAAGGAAAGTTCTTTATAGCAGAAGACGTAAGGTTGGGAGGAGCTGGTATAAACTCAAAGCCCATTGGAGGAAACTAGGAGTTCAAAGTATAGTGGCTTTTCATTGGCTGTTGGGTCACATTCTCTCATTGGTTAAGCTGTTGTTGGGGAGAAGGAGGACCCTTCTTCCTTCTGCTGGAGTAGTTCAGTGGTGTCCGTATCACCGAATAGGGAAGAGTGGTATCTCTTCCTACATAGTCTACAGTTGATGGTGAGTGGTAGGGTGTGTGAGCTCCCCATCTGTCCTCCAGCTCCACTTTCAATGAGGTTTCATTTTACTGATTCTCACAATAGACTTTTTTTTTCCAGTTTTTGGCTAATACCAATAAAACCCTTATGAAAAATTGTGTGCAGGTTTTGTGTGATGCAGGCTGTTCAAAATCCCCTCTGGTTTTCCAATTCAGGTAGAATAAAGTCCAGTGTTAAGTGCAAGGGTGTCTGGGTGGTCCCCAAATACTACACCCTGTGACAAGCATGGGGAAGCCTTGTGGTTGAAGGACAGTACTTGTTCTTGAGGTTCTTCCAGTCTGGGGACAGCATTGCTGGAGTTCACATTGTGCCTCTATCACTTATAAGCTGTGTGATCTTGAGCGAGTTCCCTAACCTCTCTGTGCTTCGGTTTCCTCATCTGCAAGTGGGAAGATTAATAATATAAACTACTTTACAGGGTGGTTGTGAGGATTAAATGAGTTAATGTGAAGAGTATGGAACAGCCCCCTTGAAGGCCTGTCTAGGAAGTTTGCATTTTATCCTGTTAATCATATGCAGGGAGAGTAGGGTTGAGCTGGTAGATGAGGGACAGGGGGAAGAGGGACAGGTTTGGAGACTCTTGGAATAATCCTGAACAGCTCTCATGTGGTGGGGAGGAAGAAAGACTCTGTTTGGAGTGGGTTGGAGAGGGAACAGATGGAGGGTTTATGGAGACAGCAAGTGTAGATAACTCACTGGAGGAATTTTGCTAAAAAAAGTGCAAAGGGACAGTAATAAGAGGAAAATGTGGGACAAACGGAGTTTTCTAGTCTTTTTTTTAAGTGGGTGAAGTGAAAAGTAGGAATGATTTCAACATAAAACAAAATTAACAACGGGATGTAATCCTCAGAGGGAAATCCCAGAAGTTGACAAGGGATGGAGGCCAATATTCAAATGATACAACCTGTATCCTCCCCCTCCCAACCCCCACCCGCCCCAGGGGTGTAACCTGTTCCTGGAAGTACTGCCACACCACGTGGATGGGTGAATTGGACAGAGCAAGCTCCTATTCCATCTCCCTGCTCCAAAAATCATTTACTATATTGTCCTCGGATAGGGGACGTAGCAGATATTAATCTGACAACAGCTACTATACTTGATCTTAGCCAAAAGGCCCAGAAGCAATTAGATTTGTTTTGGAAGGAAGCAGGGTGCTCGGTACCAGAATTACTTCCCCCTCTCTGATGGGGAGATCATTTTCTAGAGGCCAGATGGCCGGAGCCAGGGACTACCGGCGTCGGGGGGTCTACTCCCCCGCACTCGGAGCGGAGAATCTCGAAGGGTTGGGAAAGAAGGCAGTCCTGCGGCGATGGGGCCTACGAGCGACGGGGCGAAGTTCTGCCTTTGAAGGGTTCGGGTGGGATGGGAGGCGGGGCCTGTGCAAGGGCGAGGGGCGGGCTTCTTTGGGATGTGGTCGTAGATGGTGAATGCTGGGGAGCGGTCCCTGACGTCCCCGTCTGGCCAAACTGAAGGGGCATCAGGCGCGGCTGGTATGAAGGCGGATTGGTTCGAAGGCCCGAGGACTACGGTAGAGACGTGGGGCCAACGGAAGGCCGTGGAAACTCGTCTCCCTAGGGTATCGCCTTATACCAGATGCCGAGGGGCGTGGCCTCATGGAAAGAAAGGGGTTAGGCCTTCAGGGCAAGCCAATGAGAGGTGGGAAGGGCGGGGCTTGTGCTGAGACGGCCAGTAGGGACAGGGCTCTTCTAGGAGGTGCTTGTGATCCGGGTTTGCGCATGCGCGTCAAGCCGGACTACGGGGCTACGCAGATCCAAATGAGACAGGGGCACGGCCGGGGGGCGGAGCCCGGCCCCTCATGCCGCGCGTCTGGGTCACGTGACATGAAGGGCACCGAATTTCTCAGGAGTCGGCGCCATTTCCGTAGGTGAAGGCCGTAGTGTCCTGCGGGTCAGGGAAGCCTTCTGATGCGATGTGACCCCGACCCGCGGTCTGGGGCGGGTGTCAGGCTCGGGCGCTCGCTGGGGGCAGAGATCTCACTTTAAGGGATGGGCGCACCCGCTGGCTTGGGGGCGTGGCCTTGTCCTTGTGGGTGGCGTAGACGCGGGGTGGGCGGGCTCACCATTGGGGCTGAGATTCGGACCCAGGTGCAAAAGAGGCGGGGCTTCCTATCGGTTCTTTGAGAAGCAGGTAAGTGTGAAGCACTGTTTTGAGGCTGTTTTGGCCTCACTGACCTGTGGTGGCCTATTTTCGGTGCTGGTGGTGACGTACGGAAGGGGGCTGGCGCCTCGGGGGGCGTGGCCTGCCCCGAGAGGCGTGGCCTCGCTCGGAGCCTAGCCGCGTGAGGTGTGTGGCCGCGCAGAAACTGGCGAGAAGAGGCGTGGCCCGGGAACCTTGTGGGAGGGGGCGTATCTTCGGTGAAAGATCTCTGCGCGTAGCTGCTGGCACTGTCCTTTCTCTTTCAGGTGGCGCGTTATGGAGACCCTCGCGGCCGCCGCCCCTGCTGGGAGCTTCTTCCCCTCCTTCCTGCTCTTGGCCTGCGGGACGCTAGTGGCCGCCCTGCTGGGCTGCGCTCACCGCCTGGGGCTCTTCTATCAGTTGATGCACAAGGTGCGGGGGCGCAGATCAGCGGCGGGCTGGGGGCAGCCAAAGAAGGAAGGAGCTCCCGGCACCCTTAGCTCACTTATCTTACCGGAGAAAGTGGGGCCCGACTAATCTAGGGGGCTCGGTCGGGAAACTCTGTCCACGGCCTTTAACCCATCGGCAGCCTGCAGACACGGCCGTGGACTTTACCCCCAGGAAGAGAGAAATCGGGCAGTAGCCGCTGCGTACTCAGCGCCCCAACCGCTCCTTCCCCAGAGGCCAAGAGCTCTTTTTGTAGAGCCCTGCTCCCTAAATCCTGTGAGATCAGAGTGGGCCAAAGGCAGCACCGGAAGGGGTGGCCGTGAAAGGTGTCCTGTACCTCGCAACACGTCCCCGAAGAGGTGCTTTTGTTTCTGTCCTCATTTTCCACAAGAGAAAACTGAGGCCCAGGGAGCTTGTGTGAACTTTCCATAAGTGATTCCATAGGTGATGTTTTGGGGGAGCGTTGACCCCAGGGGTCTCACCCTGAACTGCTTGGCTCCTTCCTCAGGAATCCACCCTTGCTACTGTTCTTCACTAGTAACGGGAGCCAGGCCACTAGCCTTGAGGATTTCTGGAGATTTAAGGCAAAGGCCTCTGGGTCTGGAGCTGTGAACAAGCCGAGGCTTGGAAGCCAGCAGGCCGCTCCTTTGCCAGGTGCCTGCCTGGTGGCTGGCAGCCTGTCAGCCTGGCCGCCCAGTGAGTGGGAGAAAGCCTGGCGGTTGCTACCAGGCCCTGGAGGGCAGGCAGTTCTGGAGTCCCAGCAGATGGACCCTGGCCGAACTACTTTGGGTTCTGGGAATCCACTTTCCCTCTCTTCTCACCCACATTGGCCCACTGTCCCCCGAGATAGGCAGTGTCGCAGAAGGGGGCACCAAAGAGCACTGGTTCTGTGGGACTTTGAATCTTGCGAGAGCAAACCTTGGTCTCCTTAGCTGTAGAAGGATCACCTGCCTGACCCTGGGCCCGGTCTAGTACAATCTGCGCCTCCCCAATGTCAAAGTTCCCCTGACCCCTGACTCTGTCCTGCCCTCCTTCCTGGGGGTGTGAGACTGCCCTCTCCCTCTCGCCCGGGTCCTTGGTAGTCTTGACCCTCTCTCTCCGTGGGCCCAGGTGGACAAGGCGAGCATCCAGCACGGCGGGGAGAGTGTGGCAGCGGTGCTGAGGGCCCATGGCGTGCGGTTCCTCTTCACGCTGGTTGGCGGGCACATTTCCCCGATACTGGTGGCTTGTGAGAAGCTGGGCATCCGTGTGGTGGACACACGCCACGAAGTCACAGCTGTCTTCGCCGCCGATGCCGTGGCCCGCCTGACCGGTGAGGGCAGAGCAGAGAGGGTGGGGGGCTGGTGAGAACGGGATGGGGAGTCGCTGCGGGGGCACAGAGTTCTTTCAGAGGTGGCCGGGAGGGTGGGCAGGCCTGTGATGGATTCTGTATTTCAGGGACGGTGGGCGTGGCAGCGGTGACAGCGGGCCCTGGCCTCACCAACACGGTGACTGCAGTGAAGAATGCCCAGATAGCTCAGTCTCCAGTCCTGCTTCTGGGCGGGGCCGCCAGCACTCTGCTGCAGGTGCCCTGTCCTTGGGTGGATGGTGGGGATCCCAGGGAGCCTCAAAGGGCTCGTGTATTGACTCTCTGGACTTCTCTGTTTCCACCAGAACCGGGGTGCACTCCAGGCCATTGATCAGATGGCCCTGTTTAGGCCACTGTGCAAGTTTTGTGCTTCTGTGCGGAAGGTGCGGGACATTGTGCCCACTCTGAGGGCTGCGATGGCAGCTGCCCAGTCGGGTACCCCAGGTAGGTGCCGGGCGGGGGGGGGACTGGGCAGTGGTCAGGCCCTAAGGCCTCGGTCCACAGAGGCATGGTAGGCTCCGTGTCCGCTCTGCCCCTCTGCAGGCCCAGTGTTTGTGGAGCTGCCCATCGATGTGCTGTACCCCTACTTCATTGTCCAGAAGGAGATGGTGCCCACCAAGCCGCCCAAGGACCTCATGGGTCGAGTGGTGTCCTGGTGAGTTGCCTCCCTCCCACCGTGCCCTCTCCAGCCCCCTGCCCTTTTTTGTTAACTTCCTGCCAGCCTCTGTCTCTCCTTTGACTCATTCATTGGTTTGCATATCAGTTCAGGGGAGCCAGCCTTAGGAAGAGCATTGGGAGATAGAGGGACGAGCATATGCAAAGGTCCTGAGGTTGGGAAAGCCAGGTAGCCTCTGTGGCAGCAGCAGGTGAGCAAAGGGGAGACGGCAGGGGCTGAGCTCAGAGCAGCTAGCAGGGGCCATTGGGAGGACTTGGGGTTTTGTTTTTACTTTGAGATCCATTGAGAAGCATTATACGGCCTAAAGCAGAGGTGTGGGACACCCCAATTCAGGTTTTTATTATGTTCCCTCTGACTGCTGCTGGAGGATGGACTGTGGGGAAGCTGGGAAGCCAGGGAGGAGGGGTCGTAGGCTGTGGGAGGAGAGGCAGTGGTGGCCTGGGGCCGAGTGGTAGCTACCGGGGATGCAGAGGTGGGGGATGGGGGAATGCAGAAGTGGAGGATGGGTCACATACGAGTGCTCAGACCTGTATCAGGCCAGAATAAGGGATAAGCTTAAAGGTTTTTCGGGAAGAGCTACAAGGTTGAGGGGGGACTTCTTTCCGTGGAAAGACTAGGAAGGGGTTCCGTGCCGGGCCCCAGCCCCAGCAGAGGTATCTGGTTTCAATCACCACCAAGATGGGCCTGGCTGGAATGGCACAGGAAGGAGAGTCGATTCTCCTCTTCCTTCCCCTCTGTCCCTTCTCTTTGCTTATCCTTGCCCTTCCACCTGCTGTTCCCCTGCCACATATTTAGCAAGTGCCACAGTGTGCCCAGTACCAGGATAGGCATGGACCAGACAGTCCCCTGCACATGTGAGGAGCCCCTTGAAGGCCAGCTTCTGTTAACTTAAGCTTTATTCACATATCTTTTATAACAACCCTGAGTGAAGATAGTGTGGTATTACTACACCCATTTCACAGATTGGGTAACTGAGACCCAATGGGGGTAAATGACTGGCGGGAAGTCATCCAGCTGGTTAACGGCCCACAAGGATTCAGCCTGGAGGAGTTCCCCACCCCCCCCAGCTAAGTGCCATTTGCAGTGAATGAAATGAAAGTCCAGAGAGATGGCTCCGAATCCCTAGCCACTAACTATCTATGTTAACCTTGAGCAAGTGAATAAGCCTCCCCCCACCCCAGCTTAATGGAGATACAGCTGACACAGGGCACTGTGCATGCTTAAGGTGGACAGCATGACTTGACTGATGCCGTTGTGGTGAAACCTTTCTTGACTTCAGCTTCCCCATCTGTAAAATGAAAAGCGTTGCGTGGTTTTCTCTCTAGACTGAGATTCTGCGAAGAGTAAAACAAGATCACTTTGATAGTGTAAAGTGCAACGTGACTAATTAACCACTGCCTTAAATAAGAGTAGGGCTGAGTCCAGTGTCTGTCAGGTGTAAGGCAAGCTTCTCCCGTCCTCTCTCCAGCCTGGTTAGGGAATCACAAGTACAGAGGGGGAGTCAGACGTCCTGAACAGA